CTCGTAGGGGTGTTGTGAGCACTCAGATGAGTGCAGTAAAGCACAGAGCACAGGCTGGCGAGCAGCAAGGGCTATGGACCACCCCGAGCCAGCCGCGGTGCCCCCCGCCCCTGCTGGAACCCGCACCTCCCGGCCTGTTACCTTACAAGCAGCAGTGCCCGGCGGCTCATATGTCCCACTGAGTCCTCTCACTCATGACGTCGCTCAGGCAAAACACGGTCTGCCGGTTGTGCAAGCCCACGGTCCTCCTCCCCTAGCCCCGCGCCTGCCCCTGGGAGTCCCCAGTCTGATGGAGGAGGTGAGGTACAGCTCTCAGGTAAGGCCAAGGCAGGCGGGAGGGGAAGGGATGGCCCTCAGCTGCCCCCACCCCCAGCCTGGACCTGCACATCTCAAGTGCTCACCAGGGACCACCCCTGCCTCCTGAACATCCCTGCCCTTCGCTGATTTTACCAGCTGGTCAGAGAGGTCAAGCAGCCGGGGTGGCACTGGGCTCCCAGGCCAGCTGGCCAAAGCCCCATGGTGTTTTTCCTGGCTTCCCAAGAAACAGAACACTCTGAGCTGCCTCCCTCTGGGAGCCCTCAGCTCCGGTGCATACCCATACACACAGGACTACACGTTCACACACCCTTGGCCTGCCCCGGCCTCTGGCCCGGGGTGTAGCCGCTGTCGTTTGAGCCAAGCCCCTTAGTCTCCCTGCAGACCTCAGTGTTCTTGTTATGAGAACAGAGCCAAGCGCCCCATTCCCAGGCACCCCCGGGAACAGGAGCAGGCCCTGGGCCCCACTCCACTGCAGCTGTCCCCACGGGGGCCGTTGGAGCTGAGCAGATAAAGAGATCCAATCAGGCCTGTGGCCAGCAGCTCCACCGTGGCTGGCAGACGGTTCTTGTGAAAGCAGTTGCAGAATCTTGAGGTTTCAAGATGGCCAGAGGAGGGCAGGAAGGAAGTTTCTTTGGTATTGACAGCCGAAAGATGCCAGGGTTGGAAGGCTCCCTCGTGGTCCAGGGTCTGGGCGTCAGCCTGGTAGGGCCAGGCCTGCAACAGTATCCACTGACCCAGGGCTTGCCTGGCCCAGGGACAGCAACACCCCTGACCAGAGGCACAGGTCCTAATAGATGTACAGGCACAAATCCGCCCCCTGACCCGAGAGCTGTGACAGGTGAGGCCGTTGATGTGTCCATTCCACACATATGTATTAAAGCCCTGCCAGGCGGTGGGTTAGAGGCTGAGGCTACAGTGAGCAACAGAGCAGGTACGTATCTTCTCTGTGTGGCTCTCACAGACCTGCAGGGAGCTGGGGCTTAATAAAATTCAAGCACAGAAATACATGTATAATCACAGCTCTGCTAAGCTCTAGGAACGCAGCTGCAAGAGTAAGGAACAGGAAGACCTGGCCACCCGAGTCATGGCCAATGGGGCCGGGACAGTAGAAGCTCCGTGTGGATGGGGCCTGGAGGGTCAGCAGGAGGCACCAGGCACAAAGGAGAGGGGCCTTTGTGGTTGAGACCCATCGCACGTGGCGGGAGGCCTGTCTCAGGAGTCGAAGCCAGCGGGGTTAGAGGGCAGAGGAACAGAGAGAGGAGACGGAGCTCTGGAGAAAGGGGGTGGCTCACCAGTCTGGCTCCTTAGGAGATGCTGCTTGGAGGGCCAAGATGAGTCCCAGAGGGGACGGCATGCTGGGACCAGTGTGCCAAGTCCCCCAGGGCCTCATACTCCCATGGTCGCCAGGGAGGGAGCTGGTGGAACACAGTTGAGGAGCTGGCTGGTCAGGGCCCCAGTCCCCAGGTGTTCCCAACCCTTCTTATGGCCCCCTTATTCCTAGTAGCCTCATCTCCTGTCACCCCAAATGGTCTTTTTTTTTTTTTCCAAGTGGTCTTTTTGATGGGTCTCACTACAAAGCTTTTCCTCCTGTGGGGCCCCATCTTGGACTCTTATTTTGCCCATTTCTCTTTCAGAGGAAGAGCTCTCCCACAGCTCCCCAGCCGCTGAGGTCCAGCCAGGCCCCCGGCCTGTAAGGAGCCTGGTTCATCCCCAGCAGCGGGTTCTAGACTCCGCCTATAGAGGCAGGAGCTCACGCAGGCCTTGCAGGGAGCTGAGCTTCTCAGACACCCAACCCAGGGGGGCAGCCCACCCTGGCCTCCATGCTCAGTGGGCTGCCCGTTCTCACACCCTTCCTGCAGCTCCCACTTCAACCGCCTGCAGCTCCAGCTCCTGGCCTCTTGGCCTTGCACCGGGAATAGTCATGGGGCCCACCTAGTGCCCACCCGAAGGCTCCATGTCTCCACCATGGTGGCACTCAACCCCCTGCCCCACTGCACCTACCTGGCCTATCGGTGTCAGAACCCTGGGAGCTCCAAACTCTCATCTGGGAAAGGAAGAGGAAATCGCATCTGGTGGGGGAAGGGACATGTCCTCCTTTGCGGGGTGAAAGAGGGCGCGTGGACTCATGGAGCTAAATCAGGACATGACACGGTTCACTCATGCTCCACAAACATTTCTGAGCACTGGCCAGGCCCCGTGTGTTGGGTCCACAGGTGCAAACAAGATCGGGTCTGGGGTCCCCGTGGTCAGTCCGGGAGGGGGACATGGTGACAGCATGCCTTCAGTACAGCCCATTTTGTGCATGACAGAGCATCAGCATAGGTTGCTCTGCAAACAGAACACAGACCATGTTGAGGGGTAAACGGGAAAGGGATGAGGGAAGGCTTCCTGGACGAAGTGGTGTCTCAGCTGGGCTGTGAAGATGAGTAGAGGTGAGTCAGGCAAAGGGAAAGTGTAGGAGGACCCAGAGGCGAGGGAGAACATGGTGCATTCAGAAAGATTCTGGGAAGTCAAGGCTGGAGTGTGGTGGGCAGTGGGGAGGGGTGAGTGGAGGCTGGAGAGGTCCTATGGGGCCTGGGAGAGTGGAAGGATTGGGGGGTCCCTGGGCTGCTGCTGAAGGGACATTGTGCATAGGCCCTGCGGACCATGGCTGTGCACACTAGGATCCTGGAAGGGCCCGGGCTCATCCCCGGTTCAGCTCATGAGCAGCCCCTCCCCCACCCCCAGGCACTCAGAGCCCGGTGCTCCCCCTCGACCCCCTCCCCAGGGACCCAAACTTGGGATGTGTGTGGAAGGATTTGAAAGCTTTCTGACTTGTCATTTAGTGAGGGCAAGAGGAAGGGGCAAAATGCCAGTACCAAGGCCAGGGCAGAGGACGAGCAGGAGATGGGGGGCATCGTCTGTAGGGAATTTAAAAGTACCAAGAGCATGGATGAAGTGTTGGACTGCTTCCTGTGCTCGTCACGTGTCAGCAATTCTGAACAATGTCAATGATGAAACGCTTCTCCCCAAAGACATCTTTCGTTGGTCTAGATTCTAAACAATTGCTGCAATTACCCGTTGCTTTAACAATTCTATGTGTAAGCTTCAAATGAATGCATTTTTATTGCTTATCCTTTTTTTTTTTTTTCTGCTGTACGTGAGCCTCTCACTGTTGTGGCCTCTCCCGTTGCGGAGCGGCCATGGCTCACGGGCCCAGCCGTTCCACGGCATGTGGGATCTTCCCAGACCAGGGCACGAACCTGCGTCCTCTGCATCGGCAGGCGGACTCCCAACCACTGCGCCACCAGGGAAGCCCTATTGCTTATCCTTTATTATGTACTGTGTTCCACGTGGAAGTCAATTTGCAGAATTCCCAGTTATACGGTGGCTCCCTCAGTTACCTGCATTGGCTTCGAGGGTAAGTTCTAAGGGTTCAGAATCATCCGAGCTGGCTCTTGCTATGCTTTGTGCCCCTCATCCCCTGTAGCATCACATATTCTTGCTTTTAAAAGGCTGGCTTAACATAAACAGTGTTAACTACTGTGATTGCGAAGAATGAGACAGAACTTGACTTTCTTCCATTCTGTCACTCTTTGTGACCATTTGGAATGAGAATTTGTGTTTAAGATTTAAAACAGTGAAACAGAGTGCAAATTGTGAAGTATAATATTTTTAAAGTGAAAATTTAAATTATTATGTGACTATTTTACTGAATTTGAATATCGTTAACGTTGAGATTTGTTCTTTAAAATTTTTTTATTTTAAAACTAAAAAAACGCATCAAGAAAACAGAAACTGTAATGATACATTAAGTATTAAAACTACCAATATGTAGGTAGTTTTTTCCCTTTATTTAAACACATTCATGTCATTAAAAAGTATTAATCCACTACTCTTTTCCTTTTTATATTGTAGTATTTTATTTTTATTTCATTACTGGGATGATTATGTCCAAATTTAATAAGTGAGAATTTCCACACATTTCCTTTCTAGCCATTATTATTGCTTTTTTTCATTTAATGAGTGTTACTGAAAATAATTTTGTGGTGGAGAGGAGGAGGTATCAAAAACGAATCTGCTCCCATATCAGATACTCCAGGTCGCCACTGGGCAACACTTAGCCCCGAGGAAAATCTCTCCAGTGAGGTCCCAGTGGGCATTATGAAAAGCCCATGGGGGCTTCTGAGGGACCTGTGGCCCTTGCCCACACTCCTCTCCTGTTGTCTCTGTGTGGTTGACCCTGACCCCAGAAAAAAAGCAGATGACACAGCTGACCACTGTGAGACCTGGCGAGGGCCACGCATGTCCAGGCCTGCCCCCCAGGGAAGGTCAAAGCGGGAGAGGGGGCGGATCCCCCCCAGGAGGGCTTCTCCCTCCATCACTGTCACTCCACTCAGTTTCCAGTGGCCTGGCTTGGGCAGCCGGCACGCCCACTCTGACGGGAGGGTGCTCGGAGACCAGGATCTGAACAACCCTGACTTTGGAGGTCTCCCTTCCTTTCTTCCTGCCCTTCTTCTTCCCAGGCACCGGGGCCTGGATGCTCTGCAAAGCTCTTGCACTCACTGCCCCCCACCCTTCCACCTCATGGTAACTGCTGGAGTAGGCTCAGCAAAGGAAGCAGCAATAGGGCAGAATGACAAGGCTTGTCAGACAAACACCGTCCAGCACCTGCTGCATGCCTGGCCCTGGTAGCGTTTCACCTTTATTCCATAACAGCTCTGCAAGGTAAACAGAGAAAGGCCTTCTGTTAGACAGTGAGGAGGCAGGCTCTGAAGCTGAGCAGCTGAGCCAGGTGAATGACGGTGCTGGGATCTGGACCCAGGCCAGGTCTCTCTCACCTCTCTGTACTGCTCTCAACAAGCTCCTGGGTGCTAAGTGCTGTGGCTCCCAGAGGGAGCCTTCCTGCAGCATCAGCAGAAGCCTGGGAGCAGACAAGAGCGTCAAGGTGGTTGCAGAAGAGGGGCAGGGTCCCTTGCCTGGACACCGCCTGCCTGTCCAGCCCTGCAGCCCCGGGAACCCGCCTTCCATAGACTGGTTGTGCAGGGTTTCTTGGAGGCTCCTTCCTTTCTGCTTTCCTCCATCACCACCTGGAGCGGTCAGCACGCCAAAATCCCCCAGAGAAGGGCCAACATGGCAGGGATGGGCCTAGAGCCCGGGTTCTATCTCAAGCTCGTCTCAGGGACCATGGCAGCCCGCAGCTGCGGCAAAACCCGTGCACACCTCGCTACTGCTGAAGAATGAGAGTCCTCTCGGGGGGAGAGCAGAGCTCAGTCTGAGTCCTCTCCGGGGGGGACCCTGGAAGGAGCGCGACCTCGGTTCCATACGCCCTGCCCCAGCTTCCAATCTCCTGGGCACATCTGGGATCCTGAGGGCAGGGGAGGCGAGCACATTTGGGGAGTACTCCACATCTTTTGCAATCTCTCTCCTTCCTGAGGGTCACTGTCCCACTCTCACAGGCCTGGAAGCTGAGGTCCGGGGAGCGGTGCGGTCTACCCCGGTCACATGGCGGGTCAGCAGCAAGGAACTCGGTGGGCGTGCTGCAACTGCACGGTGACGGTCCGTCCTGACCCTGTGCAGGAGAGGGGCCCCCGCTGAAGACAAGGAGATAAGATCAGCTGGCCCAGGCCCTCAACTGGGGCTTGTGAAAGGGGTTGCTGAAGGGGCTGTTTCGAGAGCAACCGGCGGGCCGGTGCTGTTGCTGTGGGAAGAGGCTGCGGAGGGCCCGGCGGCTGCGTTAGGCGGGGCGGGGCTCGGAGGGCAGGAGTCGGGGACACCCAGCAGGCACAGCGACTGCTCCGAGGAAGGGATGGACACGTCCACCCGAAGAAGGGGCGAGCGCAGGCAGGCTGCAGGGTGCAGCGAGGGTGACTCTGGGGCTGAGCGCTGTCCAGGCAGACCAGGATGGGGTCGGAGCAAAGGATGAGCTTGGCTCATCCAGTGGCATAAACCAGGAGTAAAGGCCAAGGGGTGTGAAGTCCTGGGCCCTGGAGGGAGCGCCGACTGGGGGCGTTCTACCCTTCAGATGCAGAAATGGAGGCCCAGCCAAGGTGGTGCAGGCCGAGCGGGGTCCAAACCCAGGTGGGTCGGAGCCCACCGCCTCCCCTAAGGAAGCCACTGCTGACCAAGCCCATAGAAAGTCAGAATTTACACCGAGCGTGTGGTGCAAACCTGCTACTGACGTGCACTGAAGAAGTGCGCAGAGAAGCGCTAAGCCCCAGGCAGGTCCTCAGCTTGCACGGAAGCCTGCTGCCATCACTCTGCAGGGTGCTTCCCGGTGACTTCGCACTGTGTCCCCCAGATGGCGCATGAGGCAGCACCTTGATTTTCACTGCTAGGCCCTGCTTCCGCCATCACCTCACCTTCCCCTGCATCTTGGAGAGAGCTGGAGCAAGGGGGAGGGACCGAATCATTGACCCCACATCATTCATCCCCTCAATCAACTTACTGAGCACCTACCGAATACTAGGCCTTGTGCTGGGGACTGGGGAGATAGGACAGTAAGACAGACCCGGCTTCTGCCCTGCTGGAGGAGGAGAGGGGCCTTTCCTATTATTCAGCCCAAGTCCCATTTTAGGAATGTGGAGACTGAGGCTCAGAGAGGGGAAGTGACTTGCCCAAGACCATACACATAGTTAGGGGCAGGACCAGGCGCAGCGCTCTTCTGAGGCACACCCAGCAAATATTCACTGAGCGACACCTGTGTTCTAGGCACTGCTCTGGGCCCTGGGAGAAATCTATCAGTGAACTCGATAACAAAGAGGCGGGGGATGAAGTGAGCAGATGAAAGAACATCTCCATGTTGGTGAGGGGTAAAGTGGGGTGTTTCAGTGTCACAACTGCCCCCAAATGAGAGGGAAGTCCCAGAGCTCCACCTCAAGAGGCTGGGCTTCTGAGGCCCAGAGCTCCCCTCCCTCCCCCAGGACAGGCTATAAAAGTCCCTTCCCAGCTACTTCCACAGAAGAGCAGGAGGAGGTGAGAGGTATGCTCGCTTACCACCCTGTGGCTGGGGTCTCGCTGCAGAGATGAAGTTGCTCCTGGCCCTGGTTGGGCTCCTAGACACCCTCACCCTGGCCCGGCTCTCTGAGGGCACCACCCCAGGTAATAGCCCCTTGGACAGCCAGGGAGGAGGGCAATGGAGTGGGAAGCACTTGGGTCTGAGGGACCTGTGGCTGCCCTGGACCCTAAGCCTCCTTCCCTCTGAACAGCCTCCCCTAGGGTAGTGGAGACCTCAGTCCTCCAGAGCTGCATAACAGAGGCCAAGTTGCTAGTGGATGCCGCCTACAATCAGACTGAGAGGAGGTGGGCCCGGGCCTGGGTCTGGGGACTGCATGGGCCTGGAAGGGTTGATGATGGGGGATGGATGGACTCTAGCCAAGGTCATCTCACCCATCACCTGCCCCTGGGCACCTTGGGACAGTGCCATGTCGGTAGAGAGTCTCCCTTCTATCCATCCTTCTGTCTGTTTACACCGTGCTGACTGTCCACTGCCCAGGCTAGGGCTCTGCTGGGTGTGTCTGCTTCCTCTCTCTAGCCCTCCCTTCTCCTCTTCTGGGCAGCATCAAGCAGCGGCTTCACAGTGGCTTGGCCAGCCCCATGGACCTCCTGTCCTACTTCAAACAACAAGCAGCGGCCACCAGGAGAGTCGTTCAGGCTGCCGATTATATGCATGTGGCCTTGGGACTGCTGGAAGAGAAGTTACAACTCCAGGGGCCCGGATCCTTCAATGTCACTGGTACTGCGGAGTGGAAGGAAGCCAGGAGGGGGTTGCAGGGTGCACGCCTCGGGGTGTTGGGAGGGGAGAGGGGAAGGGGATGGGAGGTACAGAACAGACCAGCTCTAGAAGAAGCTAGAACCCTGCCCACTGTCCCACCCGCAGATGTGCTAACGAAATCCCAAATGCGGCTGCTGTCCCAGGCCAGTGGCTGTGCACCCCGGGATGAAGCCGAGAAGTGCAGTAACAAGTACCGAACCATCACTGGGAGATGCAACAACAAGTGGGTGCTGGGGCAGCACCTCACCTGGTGGGGCCCAGTTCCCTCCTCTCCTCCCCAACCCTGCTAACCCCAGCCTACCCACCACTGCAGGAGGAGACCACAGCTGGGGGCCTCCAACCAGCCCCTGGCGCGCTGGCTGCCAGCCGAGTATGAGGACGGGCTGTCGCTCCCCTTCGGCTGGACCCCCAACAAGAAGCGCAATGGCTTCCTCCTCCCCCTTGTGAGTCAGGGCTGAGGGGCTGGAGGATGTTCCATCTCTTCTAAACGTGGGGAGTAAAAGCACAGCCCGGAGTCGGACAGGGCTCGAACCAGGCTGTCCCACAGGCTGGCTGATGACTCTGGGCAAGGACTCCAGCTGAATCAGTTTCCTCAGCTGTAAAACGGCCGTAAAACCCACTTAATATTGCTGTTGTGACTATTAAATAAAGTCCTTGATATAAACACCCATGTAGGATGTGATATATTAATGCTAGCCATTACAATATTGTTTTTTTCTGAAAGAATTCATGTCAAAGTACCTTGCTAAATATAAGAAGCAATACATCTTAATGTAGTTCTATCTATTGACCTAAACTATTTCACATTTAACAATTTATCAATCTTCTATTCATATGCCAAAATAACAATCTGTCATCTACCCATCTATCAACATCTATTTATCAATTTTTCTTCCGTTGATCTTTCCATCTATCCAATTCTCTGTTTATTATCCATCGCCTAGCAACCAATCCTTGCATCTGTCAATCAGTTCTACCATCTAATTATCTATTAGTCTATAAATTGATCTATCAGTTTCATCTATTTATCTCTCTGGAGAAGCTGGTGGGGTCTGAGCCAGCTGACCTGGCCCGTCCCCTTCCTGGAATTACTCCTGGAGTCCTCAGGAGCTGGGCTGGAGAGCATCCTTGTAGGAATGACAGCCACATAGGAAGTGGGACAAAGCAGGAGAGGAGAGGGGAGGGCAGGGGAGGAGGAGGGACTGTGTTAACTCCAGCAGGGGCAACCTGCCACCCCCTGAGTCCTGGGTTGGCTCTGACACCTTGCAGAGTCAGCGCCCCATGCTGATCTATCTCCCCACCAGGTCCGAGCCGTCTCCAACCAGATCGTGCGCTTCCCCAGTGGGAGCCTAACCACCGACCGGGGCCGGTCCCTCATGTTCATGCAGTGGGGCCAGTTCATTGACCACGACTTGGACTTCGTCCCTGAGTCCCCAGCCAGAGTGGCCTTCACTGTGGGCGTCGACTGTGAGAGGACCTGTGACCAGCTGCCCCCCTGCTTCCCCATCAAGGTACTTAACCCTGACTCCCAGGCTCCTGATGTGGCCTCCACCTCTGGCAGAGAGCTGGGGCTGGGCATCTGGTACCTAGTGCACCTGCCTTAAGGAGCTGCCTGTGACTCTGGAGTATCAGACAGAGATGCACAGTCTGGCACAGACGCCTGGTTCTGTGTGTGTTTGGGGGGGGGGGGGGGGGCAACCTGCCAGGAAGTCCCGGTGCTGGCCTCAGAGAAGGGGAAGAAGTTGAGACTAGCCTTGACCCCTGGGTCCCTTTCCAACAGGGGAAGCCTTTAGGGTCTCTTAGCTCTTGCCCTTCTCTCCCTCCTGGGGTGGTCTGAGGGCCCTGCAGTTCTCACCATTTCCTGGGATCGGGCTGTGAGCACGGTGCTATCCTTCAGCTGAGAGGCAAGGATGGTGAGGGACACTAGGGAAGAAAAGAAGGGCTCCAGGGAGCACAGCCTCTTCTGGGGACAGAGGGGACCCTCTGTGCGCGCGCGCGCACACACACACACACACACACACACACACACACACACACACTCACTCGTCCCTACTGGGTAGGGCAGCGTTCTCGCGACATGACATGTGAGGGCCCCTGGCTGGCTCCTTCCTCAAGCTCCTCTGGGGAACTGTCCCTCATCTTCCTATTATACCTTTAGCTCTTGACTTTTTTTAATTTATTTAATTTTTAACATCTTTATTGGTATATAATTGCTTTACAATGGTGTGTTAGCTTCTGCTGTATAACAAAGTGAATCAGCTATACGTATACATATATCCCCATATCTCCTCCCTCTTGGCTCTCCTTCCCACCCTCCCTATCCCACTCCTCTACGTGGTCACAAAGCACCGAGCTGATCTCCCTGTGCTATGTGGCTGCTTCCCACTAGCTATCTATTTGACATTTGGTAGTGTATATATATCCATGCCACTCTGTCACTTCATCCCAGCTTATCCTTCCCCCTCCCTGTGTC